GGAGGAGGAGGAGGAGGAGGAGGAGGAGGAGGAGGAGGAGGAGGGGGAGGAGGTGGCTGGAGAGGGGAGGGACGATACTTTTGGTGGGCAGGAGAAGCTGGTGCTGCACGCACGAGGCGATCGGCTGCCCAAGGACGACCGATACGTCCACGCCCACGCCAAGCTCGACGGGTCGTCGGGGGGGACGGGCGGGAGGAGAGACGGGGAGGAGAGGCGGGGAGGCCAGGTGAGGCCAGGGGAGTCCACTGACTCCTGCCCGTTTCTCCTGCTCCCTCCCCCTCTCCCCTCTGCCTCTCGTCGGCGGAGGAGTGGGGAGGGGCTCCCCGTCCGTCGTCGTCGTCGTCGTCGTCGTCGTCGTCGTCGTCGTCGTCGTCGTCGTCGTCCTGCGCCCCCTCCTGCTCTGCCGCTCATGTCTCCCTCCCCTTCCCTCATGCCTCTCTCTCTGTCCTGTCAGGTGGGAGGCTGCATCCTGAGAGAAGAGGGGCGGGGGGGGGGGGGGGCGGGAGGCACCTGGCCGGGCCGCGGAGCGCGTCTCCCGCACGTCCCGCGAGGGCCAACAGGCAGGGCCGACAAGAGCATCTGGCTGCTGCCGTGCCCGACCCCTTCCGCACCGGTGGGCGCACGGGCCCCGGGCGCTCCCTGCTCAAGCTGCTGCGCAGCAGGCCTCTGCGGAGGGCGCGCCCTGGGGTCATCCACTTCGGCTACGCGCAGAGGGGGGTGGGGGGAGGGGGGAAGGCTTCTTAGAAGCACCCCTGCTTCTTAGAAGGCGCGGGCCTTCTTTATAGATGCAACGCCGGCGCCTTCTGAGAAGCAGCCTCCTTCTAAGAAGCCTTCCCCCCTCCCCTACCCCCTTGTGCGCGCCGCCAACCACTGCCTCTGCTCGGAGCCAGGGGCCCCCGCCCTGCGCGAGCGATGCCTCGTGTCGCGCGCACGTGCCGGCCGGGGCGGGGCGAGCCCTTGCACTTGGCGCGGGTCCTGTCCTCCTCTCCGGGCTCGGGGGGGAGGGTAAAACGACGCGAAGGTCGGGACAAAATCGGATCGGGATGACTCGAAATCTCTGAGAATCGGCGGGTTTGGAGGATGTATTGGGCGCCGCAGCCGCTCCAGAGCGTTCCGGAACGCTCTGAGAGCGCTCCTGAACGCTCTGGATCGATTTTTCCCGATCTTAGCTCTGTTTTAGAGGGGCCCCGCTGTGGCGTTGTCACCGCGCCTTCGTGAAGATCTTCAAGCGGAAGATATGACAACAAAAGAGCGATTCAGGCGGGCGAAGCCTGTGGCCAGAGAGCGCCGGTGGCGCGCAGCAATTAATTGCGACGAGTGGAACGTGAGGGACAAGGAAACGGCAAGGGGGAAGGTATTAGTTCTGTCATTTCTCCTCCTCGTCCTCTTCTGCGTCCCGCGAAACTTGGGAATCCAGATCAATATGTTTCTCCCACCCGCGGAATGGATGGGAGAGATGGATGGATGTTGCCAGATGGGGGAGGTGGATGGTTCTTGTTTTCAGAGAGTGGATGGGCCAGTTCCGCTTGAGGGATCTCTTTGCCTGGCGTGACCCCGGGCTTGGACTGGTTAAGATTTGGTCTTGCTTGGAATGACTTCACACTTCTCCAGGTATGCTTGCCCATATACGAGTTGCAATCCGCTGCCTTGAATTGGTGCACGCCCCCCCCCACCTCTACTTCGCTCTTGCGCGATCTTCGGCATTCCGAGCGGATCCCTGGGGAATGCCAAGGTGTCTGTAGGTATACAATGTCATTGGTTGGGTGGAGCGGAGTAGTGTAAATTTGAGTTTGTCTGTGAATGCCTTGGCAATGGGTTCCTCTGGCATTCCTAGGTGAGTCAAGTTGTGTGTTCAGTGGAGTCCAATGGTGACCACTGGGATACAATGTAGTCCAACATATACAGTTTGATATCAATTGGGTCCGAGGGAGTCCTACTGAGTCCAATGGAGTCTAATGTTGTCCAATGGGATTCATCGGCTCCAACGAAGCCCAATGGATCGCAACCGTTGTATAGGTAGTCCAATGGATTTCGAATTGTTATGCTAATCAAGTCCAACGGAGTCTAGTTGATGCTATGGGTATTGGAAGGAGACATGGGTTGCATTGATGGCTAATAGGGCCCACTTGAATCCTGTTCAGACCAATGGAGTCCAATTGGGCCCACAGGGGTCCAATGGGCTCCATTGGACCAATTTCGTCCTACGGAGGCCAATGTTCTATTGAGCTGACTGGAGCCCTTTGAGGAGCCCAGTTCGATCAACTGGAGTCCGCTGGAGTCCAAATGACTCCATGGGCTGCTGGGCCAGAGGATGTGGGGGAGTGAGAGGCACAAGGGGTGGTGGTGAGGAAGAGGTGGTGAAAGAAGAGGAAGAGTAGGAGGAGGATGGATAGGAGGAGGATGGGGAGGAGGAGGAGGAGGAGGAGGAGGAGGAGGAGGAGGAGGAGAAGGAGGAGCAGTGGTTGGGTGCGGCATTTCGGTCAACCCCTCAGGAAACTGT